CTAAACATCCATCCAAACCACCATCAGTCCATTATGGCTGTAGCATGTACATTTCGCAAAGTGCATGGCAACAGCTCAGCAAGGTTGTTTCAACAGCACATGCAACCTTGACCATGAAGATGAAGAATGGAAATGTTATAAGAACAATGTAAACCTTCTACTTCCCCTATAAGTTTCACACATCCACTTTTGCACTTACGTCCTTCATCGTTGCCAGGTCAGAATCCAGAAATTCCCCACCTAACAGTGTGATATCTTCATCACCCAGAGCATTAGATGGGCAGCAAACAGTTCACACAGCACTGAAGAACTTTTAAGCAAAAATATATTTAAATCTGATCAATCCAATATCTATTCACTACAGGGCACTTCAGGTCAGCTTCACAAAATATAAATAACCAAGCTAAAAGCATTGAACGATCAAGACATTTATAGGTGAAGACAGTTGGTCAACCTCTCATCATTCAACCATTGAGAGAGAACCCAACAGCACCAACACAGCATCCGATTGATTCTTAAATCATCCCAGGGATACTGCCTACTTTGTTCAAGATGGAAGTTTAATACATATCTTAATTTTGCTTTCCATAAAAAAAATACAGAATTCAGCTCTGAAATGAACTGTTGTTGTTTGAAACTACATCCCCAACTATATTATTACAAATTAATGTTAGGTAATGGGGTTACCCATAATTGCTTTTCATTCCTCGACGAGATCACTAGTTTCCTAATCTGAAAAAAAAAGCAATTGTTTCAGGTCTTTCCTCCTCAACAACTAAAAACCAATCAATCAAGGGCACTTATCAGCATGCAGCTCTAACAATTTTCTCATTATCTCTGGTGATCATAATTTTCTTGAATTCTTCCCTCCCTCCATTTCCTGATTTCATTAGCCTTCATTAGCTGTTTAATTCAAGATCATGCTGGTGATGCAGAGACTAGGGCCTGGGTTTCTTTATTTTCCAATCATTTTATTCTGTGGATTCTGCAGGTTGATCTCTGAAAATAATGATTTAAGTTAGGCAATGAAGAGTTACATGAAATCAATCAGTTGCCTCAATCATTTTATTCTTTTTCCTCTGCAGATAAGCAGTCAGCCTCTGCTCAACACTTGCCCTCTACCCATTGTGTCAGTGTCACAGCCTGTTATGAGGTTATGAAATGACTTAGTCAAGGACACTGTCACGCTGCACCTCTGCATCATTCTACGTCAGTTCCGTAAAAACAGATAAGAGTTTTTGTAGATATTTAGAAAAGAGTTAAAGCAAGCACTGGTCCGATACAAAGTGAGCCTGAGGTATTAAAAATGGGAAATGAGGAAATGGCAGTTGATTTGAACAGGTAACTGGCATTGGTCTTCACTGTGGAGAATATAAATAACATCCCAGAAATAACTGGAAAATCAGGAAATGGAAGGGAGGGAGGAATTCAAGAAAATTACGATCACCATAAATGTCCTGCAGGCTGACAAGTCTCCAGCTTCTGACAGACTTCATTGTATGGTCTTAAAAGAAGTAGCTAGTGAGACAGTTGATGCTTTGATTTTAATTTTCCAAAATTTCCTAGATCTAAAGACAGAACACAGTGACTAATTCTTTAATTTGGAAAGGGAGTGAAGCAGAAAGCAGGAAGCTAAAGGTCAGGTAGCTTAACATCTGTCATTGGGAACATACAAGAAGCTATTAAAGACCTTACAGTAGGGCACTTAAGAGAAGTTAAAGGTAATCAAACTATGTCAACATAGTTTTGTGAAAGGGAGATTACAAACAATTTATTAAAATTAATTGAAGAGGTGATATATGCATTGGATAAAGGGAACGAATGGTGCTCTCTCTTATGGCACAGTGGTAGTGTCCATACCCTTGGACCGGGAGGGTTCAAATCCCACCATACTTTTCTTTGAACAGGTTGATTAGAAATCCCCGCCTCTTCGACCTGTTTGTTTCCTCTCCACCTATCCTCTCCTCTATCCCTCTTCTATCCGCCTCCCACTCTCTCCCTATTTATTTCGGAACCCCCTTCCCCTCCCCCTTTTCTGATGAAGGGTCTAGGCCCGAAACATCAGCCTCTCTGCTCCTATGATGCTGCTTGGCCTGCTGTGTTCATCCAGCCCTGCACCTTGTTGTCTCGGATTCTCCAGCATCTGCAGTTCCTACTATCTCTGATTCAATAAAAAAGATTCTAAGATTTAAAAAAGGGAATCAATGGATGCATATGCTTAGGTTTCCTGAAGGCATTTGATAAGGTGCCACATCAGAGGTTATTTCAGAAACTAAAAGAACATGATGAAGGGTGTCACATTTTAGAATTAGGTCGAAGATTGGATATGTAACAGGAAATCGTAGGCATGAATGCTTTTCTAGTTGGCAATAAGTATTGAATGGCATGCCACAGGGATCAGTGCTGAAGCATTCCGTTTGCAATTTACATAAATAACTTGGATGAAGGCACCAAAGGTATGCTAAACTTGCTGACGACACAAAGATAGGTAGGAATGTAGGTTATGAAGACGAATTAAGGAGCTACAAAAGAATATTGACAGGTTAACTGAGCAGGCTAAGATCTGCCAAATGGAATGTAATATGGGAAAATGTGAAATTGTCCATCTTGGCAGGAAGAAAAGAAAGAAAGATGTTATCTAAACGGTGAGAGATTGCAGAGCTCTGATATACAGAAGGATCTGATGCCCTAATGTATAAATCACAAAAAGTAAGTATGCAGATGCAGCAAGTCATTAGGAAAACTGATAGAATGTTAATGTTTATTGCAAAGGGAGTTTAATGTGAGAAGTTATAACTCAGTTATGTAGGGCATTGGTGAGACTACATCTGGAATACTGTGTACAGCATTGGTCACCTTACTTACATATGGATATAAGTGCATTGTCAACAGTTTAGATCAGGTTTACCAGACTAAAACATGGAAAAGTTTTATGTGGAAAGATTGGACACTCTAGACTTCTATGTGCTAGAGTTTAAAGAGTAAAAAAATGACTTGATTAAAACATAAAATCCAGCGGGGACCTGAGAGAGCGCATATGGAAAGGAATCTAGAAGTAGGGTATCACTGCTCAAACTAAGAGTTTGCAGCTTAAGACAGGGATAAGGAGATTGTTTTCGCACAAATGGTCTTTGAAACTCTTTTGAGGAAGAGTCTTTGAATAATTTTAAGGCAGACATAGATAGGTTCTCGATAGACAAAGGAATGAAAGATTTTTGTGGATAGGCAGGAATGCGGAATAGTTGGATTAGTCCTGATCCTATTGAATGGTGTAGCATGCTCGAGGGGCTGAATGGTCTCCTCCTGCTGCTATTTGTATGTTCGTAAGCTATTAATCCCAGTATATTACTTCTGCCCATTGGATAAAGATTCATTGGTCATGATCCACAAATCATGATAATAAGTCAGACCTCTCTTCAGCTTTAAAGCTGAAAATCAAAAATTGCTGTTCACCATTACATTCCACTCTAGCTACAAGTAAACAAACTGTTAATCATAATGTTTTCCAATGTTTTGTTTTGGGCAAACATTTTTATCAAATAACTAGCATTAGCACTGAAATGATTCCGTGCAGAATCATTTACTATATCATTAACTTCTAGGAAAGAAAACACTTGCATTCATATAGCACCTTTCATGGCAGTTGGATGTCCCGAAGTACGTTACAACTCACTCTGCTGAATTACATGGTAAATAACAAGATGGGATATTTTTATTTTGGTCAAACTTCAATACACAAGTTCACTATTAAAGGCTCCACTATTCAAATTCACAGAACAGTCTTTACAATTCAGGGCTTTTCTGATTTGTGCATGTATAACAATTTTCACCTGCACACTGCAAATTTCACTTTTGCCCTTTAGTGGGACTTGCACACATAACTTTCCATCCCATTGTTAGAATGCTATAAAGTAAATCATGGCTGACACCAATCTGTACATACGGCAAATTATTGTGAAGCATATTTATTCCTTTATAAGCAGGAGGTTCTGCACCTCGTGCGCTGCTGAGTTATGAAGAGATCTGTTGTGTGTCTGTAATACAAATTACTTCCAACTAGACAGTAATAATAGGGAATATTGAACTTACACAAAAACAGGTCTGTAAGGGCACACTACATAATTGAGAGATAACAGGGCCCATACAGTGTGCTAAGATTGGGCACGTGAATGCTACATTTGCTTTGCACTTGGTCCAAGATGAAGGGAATGCCTCGTCTGACACATTGCACCACAGTGAAGTTCAGGTAGAAGTCCATCCTAAAGACGCACTGTTATAGCAGATTCCTGTGTAGCTAACTGTTCCTATTTTCTCCTGTCTTCTTGAGTGTTTTCTTTTGATCTCCAATCCCAAAGGTAGACCTCTCTGATCAACCATTACTGCAATAAACTGTTTAAAGCAGATTAAAACAGTCAAACACCAACAAATACCGCTTAACCCAAGTCAGAAATCCATTGTAGAGGACAGAATAAATGCCATGACTATTTGTTTTTCATCTTCTATATACATGAATCAGAAATGTATTTTTATTCCATCACTACGTGGGTTAATGCTGATATGTAATACATTCACAGCTTTCTTCATATGGCTCCTATCCTGCATGGGTTAATGTTATCTTTTCATTATATATGATAGTTTGCAACTCATTGATATTAAATACTACTTAATTGTATATCTCTCCAACACATATACACTAGGATAGATGAAGTAGATGGCAGAAGCATTAAACTGCACAGAGTAATTTGACTGATAGACTGTTTCTGTGCTGTAAATTCTATGTAAAACAAATTGAGATTTGTAAGTACAGTAATTCATTTATTCCAAATAATTTATTTACACATAAGTAACTGGAACAAAATCCATTTTACAAGGCTTGATTTTTATTGCAGGCAATCACTAATAAAATTTCAATACAAAAAAATGTCCAAATAAATACTCAGCCCATTGAACAGGACAGCAGTATTAGTTTCAATACTCATTTAAAAGTCAAGAAAAATCACCTGAAAAGCCATGGAATTGGCAGCAGCCAGGAACATCCGTAGAGGCAGTTTTGCTTTATAAGATCGGTGGCTCCATAAACGGTGGGCACCAGCTGTCACTCCGAGTGCAGTAACTATGAAACAAAAATAAGCTGTAGAAAGACACAATGGCTTAGATTAGTACCATGCTACATTATTTTCTGCATTGCTGTCTGCAACACTGCGATGCACAGCAAAGCAAGGTCAATGACACAAGTGAGTTCTATACTTGACAGGACTTGACTTTTTTTTTTAATCCAAAGTAACCATTCTCTCACTTTGTACCCTCTGCAATAGTATGCTGTGTTTGCCCCAAGAGCTAATTGCCATTTCAGGAAATAGCCTTATTGAAATAGTGGTAGGATCAGAGCTTATAAGGTGGATGGGAAAAGGCTGTATAAAATACATAGTTTTCAGGTCATTAAAGTAACCAAAGCTAAAAGCATTAGATCTATATAACATAATATAGAAAATAACAACTTAACAACATGTTGGTCAGCACCTGAAGAGGAAAAATGGTTATTGCTTCTGGTGCTGTGTCAAAAGATGTACACTTGGAACATTAACCTGTGTTATGTTGTTACAGAAACTTCCTCTGCTTCTGTATACTGTCAGTTTGATTTTAGATGTGCAGTATTGGTATCCCCTTTCCCCCATAATAATGAATTCACTTCAAAGGTTAAAAGTTGAAAGTATTAAATTAATCATGGGAAGTAGTGTAAAATGGGTATTAAGAAAATAACATTGTTTTAAAATATTTTAATCTGTGTGTTTGAACATATCATGACACAGCTCTGGGACAAATGGAAACCCAGACCTTTGGCTGAGAGGTAGAACAGTAGCATCATAAAAGTCCCCAGTGGGTGTCTGTTTTACACTTGCCTGATGTTCCATTTAATTGACCACGCAAGGTAGTGGGAAAGTTTCAACAGATGCAGCTCAAAAACAGCAAAATTGATTCAGGAATGCTGATAAAAGCAAGCACGATTCCAATCCACATGGAGTTCCTTGTCTAAAAAACAAGGATGCAACACTGTCTCTTACACTGTAGCTACACAAATTATTCTAGGAAATTCTGGGTATGTCAAAGATTTTACAATATCAAGGTTGATTGACTTGAAAGTCACTTACTGGCAGGTTAACGAGAAGTTGATGTAAGCCCCTTCAGGCTTTCTGCCTAGTCAAAATTTAATTTTGTAAGAGGGCTTTTGTGGTACAGTGGCATTGTCCCAACCTCTGGGCCACATAGTGTTCAAGTCCCACCTGCCCTAGATATATGTCATAAGATGTCTGAATTGGTTGATTAAAAGTATCTACATTTGCTCTGTTCTTAGCATTAATTCAGGGAATGGCCTATTTAAAGCAAATTCTCTATACATCTTCAGAATAACACCAAAATCAAAACACTGTACTTGGCAGGACACTGATATAAAAACATAAAATGCTGGAAATATTCAGCAGGTCTGGCAGCATTTGTCCTTGACCTAAAACATTAATGCCATTTCTCTCCACAGATGCTGCCAGACCTGCTGAGTATTTCTAGGACTTTCTATTTCTCCAACATGTAAATCTGATTTGAAGCAAGGAAAATAAATGGATAATCCCAAGCCTCTGCAACAGAACTTCATATTTTTAAAATTTAAAAATGTACATTTAAGAGACTTCATTAAGAAAGTTAGATTAAAATTGATGATTCCATTGATTGGTTAAAAAAACACTGGTTGTTATGGGCTAAACAATAGAGGATCAGCAAGTAGATTTCACCCATATTTTCAAAACAGAACCATCACTCTGCTGAATTACATCGTAAATAACAAGATGGGATATTTTTATTTTGGTCAAACTTTCAATACACAAGTTCACTATTAAAGACTCCACTATTCAAATTCACAGAACAGTCTTTACAATCAGGGCTTTTCTGATTTGTGCATGTATAACAATTTTCACCTGCATATACGTGTAGATTGTAAGCGCTTATATACATCCAATGGTCTGGTCTTGCTGTATGTGCAATGCAGTTTGATGGACCAAAGTCTACATGCACCTTGTGGTTGTTTAAGGAGAGAATGAAGAGAAACTTGTACTGTCTCTCTGTGCAACATTTTTCACGTGCACAAATCACTAAATCCCAAATTGGTGAGATCCAGGTACATGTTCCACACAGGAGGAAAATACATACTGTGTAGAATTTTCTACTATTACATTCAGGTTCATCTGTAAAAACCCTAATTTTACTTCATGTAAGATGCCCATTTTGAAAAAGTACTGATTTTGACTGATGTCTACAGCAGGAAGTATGATTTTTACATTTTGCCTATTTTCCAGTTTATATCTGCATATGATTAAGCTTTCTTTAAAAAAAAATGTTAGCAGTTCCAATTACTTTCAGCAATATAGATCAGAATGCAATGTGACTATTTATTTCTGCCTTTTTTGTGGTTTAAGCTATGACAAAAAAAAGGTAGCTGAAGCCATTAAGATCTCACCAAATTCATTTAAAATATGTTGAATACTGAGAGCCACAATTTTTTTTAGATCATACCATACCCATTTGTTGAATTTCAATGACTTGCTCTCTGTTATCTGACTGTTACTTTGACTAAGGTCACTTAAAGCTAGATTGGTTAGACTGTGAATACTGTACCAAGCAGCAGAAATGTCACAGCAATGAAATCAAATTCTTTAGGAAAGTACAATTACTTCTCATTTTAACAATTTGATAGATCAGGTAGCCATATTTTAATGACTTCCTGATTTTACTTTAACTGACACTAAAATAGCTTAAATATGGTGCCTTCTTCATATACACAATTCACACTTACTCAAATTATCTAATAATCCACAGTTTAGGCAAGACGTTCCCAATTTGTATATAATCAATTTAAGTTATTGAATTATTCATTTTAGTACAATGGTTTTAAATTAGCCTTTTATAAATATTTTTGGTAAAAACACATTGTAGAACTGAGGTTGTTGGCTTGCTCGCTGAGCTGGCTCGTTCTCGTTCAGACATTTCATCATCTTACTAGGTGACATCATCACTGGAGCCTCCAATGAAGCAGTGTTATTCTACTCTGCTTGGAATTTATACTGTTTGGTCCGTTATGGAGAACCATGGCTCTAGAAATTCCCGTGTGTGGATGTATACAAAATTCTCGATATAAATGGATATCCCCGCAACTTCATCCACACATGCCCACTAAACAGAAAACAACAGGAGGGCACAGTATGACCTAACACACTGGCCACACTGCCCTACACCAAGAACATATCGGAACTGACAACAAGACTCCTAAGACCACTAGGAATCATGGTGGCCCACAAGCCAACAGCTGCTCTACAACAAACACTTACAAGGATTAAAGACCCCATTCCCACGACATGCAGAACCAATGTGGTTTACAAAATATTATGCAACGACTGCCACAAACATTACATCAGACAGACAGGAAGGAAACTAGCCATCAGAATACATGAACATCAACTAGCAGCAAACGGCACGACGAACTCTCCCCAACATCAAGACACTCAGAGAATGAAGGCCATCAGTTTAACTGGGACAAGGTAACCATAGTAGACCAAGCCAAACATAGACACATATGGGAATTCCTAGAGGCACGGTTCTCCACCTGTAATGCAATCAGAAAACATATAGAATTGGACACCATATACAAACCCATACAGATCAAAACGGGAAATGACACTACTCACCATAACAGACCAGACGGTATAAATCCCAAGCAGAGTAGAATAACATCGCTTCATTGGAGGCTCCACTGATGATGTTACCTAGCCTGGTGACGAAACAGCTGAACGAGAACAAACCAGTTCGGCGAGCAAGTCAACAACCTCATCCACAAACCGAGCTACAAATCTTTGCCAAAACTTTGAACGTTGTAGAACTATTTGCCAAGGCCTTGGATTCAAATATTGTTTGAAGATGGTGTTCTCAGATCTCTCTTTGTGAAATGAAACAAATGAAATATCCTGAAAGAGTGGGCCAACCCAGCAGTTGTCATGATGTCTCAGAATCACAGAATAGTTATCATGCAGAAGGAGGCCATTTGACCCATTGTCTCTACACCAGTTCTGAGCATTTTAATTTGGCACCAATCCACTGCCTCTTCTTTGTAACAATGTACATTATTTAAATTTAAATAGTCATCCATTACCCTCTTGAATGCCTCAATTGAAACAGCCTCCATCACACACTTCCTAGTAGTGCATTCTGGACACTGTGTGAAAACATTCTCTCACTTCACTTTATTGTACTGTATTGTATTGTATTAGATTATTTTGCAAATCACTTAAAACAGTGTCCTCGGTTCTGGATCTGTTCATAGTTTCTCCTTATTCACACTGGCCAAACCTTTCATGATTTTGAAAGCTTCTATCAAATCTCCTCTTGGCTTTCTCCTAAGAAAATAACCCTAACTTCTCCAATCCATCCTCATAATTGCAATGTCTCTCAAGCGATTCTTGTAATCTTCCGCTTTGGTGCCACTCCATCTGTCCTAAATGGTGCCCAGAACTGTATACAATACTTCAGCTGAAGTCTAACCAGTGTCTTATTTAAATTCATCATAACCTCTCTGCTCTTGTAATCTATGTCCTTACTTATAAATCCTGAAATACTGTATGCTTTAACAACAGTTCTCTCTGAATCTCCCTTAGGACCACACAATAGTGACATAAAAAATGTATACCCTGCAAATAAGTACCATGCCCCCTTTCCTTTTATTCCTTCTCCAACTTTGGAACCACTATTATTCAGTCTTTAAAAGGAATAATTCTACAACTAACTCTTTGGTTGAGGGACCACAGCAGTGGTGAAATGAGAGGAGACCAAAATCATAACCTTGCACTCTAGCTATCTAACATTCCTCACAGCAATTACAATATACCTAGAACACTGTACATGTTATTAACAGCTCTTAATCATCCTGCCACCTTTAATAACTTACGCACATTTATACACAGGTTTCTCTGCTCCTGGACATCCCTTAAAGCAGTACCCTTTATTTCATATTCTCTCTCCATACCCTTTGTACTAGAATCAGAGAGTCACGCAGAATAGAAACAGGTCCTTCGGTCCAACAAGTCCATGCCCACC